AAAAAAAAAAAGATTGGGTAATGACACATCTGCACAGAATTAATAACCCCTTTTTGAGCAGCTCAAGTTGTTTTTAAGATTAAAAAGAATTTCATGCGGTAATTATAAGTTCATCATGCATTCTCAGGTTACAGAAAATCATTGCTCAAGACAATCAATGAAATTCGGCAAACACTAAAAGTGGGTGTATTTATCAATTCCTGTTTCGCCCATTGCCAGACGTGGGCAGCCGAGACGTGGCATTCTCCCACTTCTCCCAGAATCAACAACAGAGTTAGTTGCAATAACAAATTGTTTGCATGCAGTTGTCACAAAATTATTATTATTATTATTATTATTATTATTATTATTATTATTATTATTATTATTATTATTATTATTATTATTATTATTATTATTATTATTATTATTATTATTATTCAGTTCAACATCAGAAGCAAGATGTGTAAACAATGACCTGAAAATGTTTCATCTTTATATATCATTGCCATTTTGACAGCTAAATCCTTGACCGTGCTACTATTGATCTAAATCTTTATATTTTTATTGCCTCATTGTTGTTTCTTGTTATATAGACAGTTGCAGAAACAGTCGGCTATTGGTACTTCAATCGAGGAGCAGCCGAGCTAGTCGATTGCCCTTTCCCCTGTAATCCCACTTGCTACCATAGAGATCTCACTATTGGGTGAAAGCAATAAGAATATGACTCCAGGTTTTTGTTGCTACTTGCTATATCTCTTTAGCTTTGTCTCTTGTTTTCGGATGGAATTATCTGAGTGATTTTCTTGGGACAAGCTGGGAAATTCAAACGGCTGGCAAAATTTCAGTAATTTTTACATGTGTACTTATGCAAGTTTGTCAGTTAGTTAGCATCCCCTCCCTGTTGAATTAGTTGATGGAAGTCGGCTTTTTCGCGTTTAACTCTAATTTACTTGATATTTTATGGCTGGACCTAGAGTAGGCGTTATTCGAGTTGAGCCGAGCCGAGCAAAACACTGCATGTTCGAGCTCATGATCGTGAAAGCTCGGTTCAACTCGACTCGTTTAACAAACCTACAATCGTAAACAAGCTGTTCGCTAACTCAACTTGTGCAAATGTGAACATGCACTGCTTGGTTGTTTGTTCAAAACCTAAAAAAAAAAAAAAAACCGAGTTGTTCGAGAATGAGTTTGGGTCCTGTTGACAACTGTAAAACTTGATTAAAAGCGAAGATGTACGTAATATTAAAGATTATTGCTTCAATGAGAGATCGTACGCTCAACTCCTTGCAGTTCAGTCCGAGTCAGACAAAAAACCTACTTCACATCCAAAACGAAAATCATCTTCTAGAAGATCTTTCCTCCCAAACTGAGGTCCGAGGAGACTAACTCTCGAAGCAAGTGACTAAGTGTTCGCACAGTTGGACCATGTGACATGCTGTAATCATTATTGTACGCTCTCCGACCAACCAACCGCTTCATAAAGCTACTTTGCATTTAATGCAATCACACCTAACTCGTACGAAAATTCAACTACGGGTTACTATAAACAACGAGATTCATTGTTGTACAAGGATCTTTTGACAATCCTTTATAATCGCACAAACAAAAATAATTCGGTTTAAGTTCAAACCGACTTCTTGTAATACAATAATCCATAAATGAAACATATATTTCTTGCTTTTACATATTAATTGCAAATTATTATCGTTGTACAATTTTGAATAACAGTTTAACGCTAGAGGTAGAGCTCCATTAGTTATTTAGAGTTAATCTTCCACTTTCTGCATAACAGTCGTTTACGTTCATTCTACGTGTTAATGTCAATCGTTCCAGCCCAAATATGTCGCATTTTGAGCAACAAGAACAAACTTCGATGGTTGGGCATAGCCGTGATGTCGTCTGGTCAGCTGGACGAACAACCATAGCTCCAGCGATTCTAGATTTTACTGTTCTGTTTCAAAATCCCGAATTTATGAAAGGTTTTTCTACTTTAATGGCTCAAACTATGCCTGGAACTTCTCAGGCGAATCCTGTGCGGCCAACTAAACCACCTACACCACCAGTTCAAGGGCATGTCGAAGCAACAACATCTCATGCGACTTCACAGCCACGTCGCGACTCCTCTCAACCGCGAAGAGAGGGGGTTGTAGTTCAAATAAATGCTAATCTTCATGGAGATATGATTCCGTCGGTCGATAATCTTCAAGAGCAGACGACCGAAAGTCAGTCAAACCATCGTCTAAGGAACCCCGTGGTTATACCACCTCTGTTGCCACAGCCTGCGAAGCAAATAGACTTGCGTCAACAAATTAAGAATAATCGCTCTGCAAGATATGAGTCAGTTGAGTTGGAGATGTTAAGAAAAAAAATAGTTGAGTTAGAGACCCGACAAAAATTACATGAGGATCCTCCCCACCGAACTTAGACGTCGGCGCATGTTAATTTAGAAGCTGACTCCCCGCTCGCATCTGAGCTCACGTCGGAACCACTGCCAGGAAAGATTAAAGTTCCCAAAATCGATTCATATGATGGAACTTATGATCCTGACGCTTATCTCGGGCAGTACACCTCGTGGATGGATTTGCATGGCGCTTCAGATGCATTGCGATGTCGTATGTTCTCTTTGACTCTAGGACCTCGGGCAGTACATCTCGGGCAATACCATTCCTTACCACATCGTTCCATCTGGAATTGACAGCAATTAAGGTCGGCATTTCGATCCCATTTGATCGGCGCTCAAGTTTGTCTCATTCCAAAAGAATCTATTGCAAATATAGTTCAAAAGGATGATGAAAGTGTGAAGGATTATATTGTGCGATTTAACGACCGAATTCAAAATATGGAACCGTGTCATCCCGAAACACTCCTCGTCTCTGCAATTGCCGACCTCAAATCGAATTCTCTGTTCCGATGGACGCTCTGTCAAAATAAACCGGGTACATTCCAGTAATTTCTATTTCGAGCACAACAACACATCATTGTAGAGGAATCGATGTTGGTTCCTAATTTTGACTTTCCCCCAAGGATCCAAAATCAGAAACAACATGAAAGAAGAAAGAAAAAACAATATTAAGAAGTTTTTCGGTGGGAAATTGGGAAAGCCCCAAGTCGGGGGACCACCGAGAGGGGATCAAATGACCCCGAAGTATGAATGGTGAAGAAGCAGTATGCTGAAGATTTGAAATTAGGTTATCAAACTATTTATTCGGCGGGAGCTACTACTATCTTCGAGGAATTAAAAGGAAAAGGAATTATTCCCAATCCTAGGCCAATCAAGACTCCCTAGATCAACTTGATAAATGTAAATATTGTGCCTTCATAAATCCCCGAGACATAATATTGACGAGTGTCTTAGCTTATTGTCGGTTTTGCCAAGACTGATTGGTAATCCGCAAGTTAGAAGATTTGCCAAGAATCTTGATTTTAAACGTAAAAGAAGAACGATGGAAATTCCCGACATAAAAATTTTTGTACGTAAATCCCATAAAAAAATCTTTCTTATAAATTTATGCTGAACTTCTAATTTTTAATCATTCTTATCTTGACATAAAAAATCCCATAAAATCGGGTGAGCAAAAACAATCAAAATCTATACTTATATAATAAGGTATCATATTTACCAAATTTAGTAGGTTAAAAAGTCAACGTAATTAATGCATTATTATTTCTATCCAGAATTTTATTTAATTATTTTATTTATTTGTCTTATATCCCATAAAATCAGTTTAAGAAAAAATCTCATAACATCTGATAAGTAAAAAAAAAAGGACGTAAAATCTTTACTAAAATAAAAAAAGCTTTATTTATTTGTCTTATTCCATATTAACATCGATTTTGTCAAAACAAATCCCATAAATCGGTGAAGTCTAAATTTGTACGTAAAGTCTATCTATACTAAAAAAATGCAGATTCAAAATTTCTTATTTAATTCCTTCTTTTCCTTATCTTATTCCTTCTTATTATCTAATTGTATGGAAATCTATTCTGATTTTGTTCAATTCTCTAATTGTATTTGTATTATATCCCACAAAATTGGTTTAACAAAAAAAACCCATAACATCCGATAAGTAAAAAAAGTACGTAAAATCTTTACTAAAATAAAAAAGACTTTATTTATTATCTAATTGTATAGAAATCAGTTCTGATTTTATTCAAACCGATTTTTGTATATTCAAATTCAGATTTTATAATAAAAATATTAACAACAATATATATATACTCTACCAATTATAAATTACAAATCGCAAAATATCGAGCCATCATCTTCCTCACTATCAACCTCCTGCGAACAAAAAAATCCCCAATCATTCTTTTATTCAAAACAATGAATCAAGGATTTGGGTTAATCAAACAAGTCAATAGGTCTAATAGACCTATGCTCAAAGTTCGAATTGTGAGAATGTTTTTCCAAGACAGGGTCAACACATACAAATAATATCTCGAGTTGGTTCTGCATGATAAAACTGTAAGCAAAACTATTTGAATTTTTGTTTTAATTTCGAAATTTGAAACGTATATTTTTTTTTTTCGTGTATGTATTTAGATATTTTTGTACATTATTAGTGAAATATATTTGTGACTTTTTTTTTTTAAAATTATATTTTCAGATTTGCAATTTGGTTTATTTATTCCACATATCGTGTATGTATTTAGATATTTACATTATTTATATTGATTTTCGTGTATTGTAAAACTTTTATTTAATATTGCATCTTATAGTATAATCCCCAAATAAATATATCTCGTGTCTCGCACAGGTCACGTACTATATATATTCCGTATATTTTTCTTTATTCATTTATATAATTATAAGGCTGGATAAATAACCTTAAAATTGTGCACCTCGTGCATCGCACGGGTTGTATACTAGTTTCTCATAATAAGACATTCTATTTATCTGATACATGTGGGTGGAAGTTTGAGTTTTTTGTGCTCTAGATGGGGGCACCTAGAAGTGCAGGACTAAGATTAGTAGGTTGAAAAATCAATGACAATTAATTCATTTCTATTTGCATCACCAGAATATTCAATCAGATTTATTTATTTTGTAAATAAATTCGGTCAACATATTAATCTCCTTACCAAATGAAAACAGATTTCAGGCATCAATTATGTGGAATCACTACAAAAAAATAGAGTTCTAGTGAAGAATTTTTTTTGTCACTATATCTACAATTGTTATCACTATGTTGTCACTATATCTACAGTTGTTGTCACTATATCTACAATTATTGTCACTGTATCTATAATTGTTGTAGATATAGTGACAATAATTGTAGATATAGTGACAACATAGTGACAACAAAATTCTTCACTAGAACTCTGTTTTCTTGTAGTGAATCTTTTTTAAATGCAATTATAAATCTATACTTATATAAAAAGTCATTTCATACTAGAATTAGTAGGAAGAAAAAGTCAACTCATAATTAGTTGCACACCATATTTAGAAAGTTTTTATATTTTTAAATCATAAAATAGAGTAGCATTAAATACCCCTAAATTTATGGGTTTTGCTGAATTTATTTTTAATAAAATCTTCGTCCAAATTTACGTGTGGTTTTGAAGTGAAAAGTTGAAATTTAAATTTTCTTCTCATTTTAGTTCCAAGAAAATCGGGTTGCATTCAATACTTTGACCAATTTAAAAATTATAGATAACTGCTATCTCTACTCAATCACATGATTATTTTCAATATAAAAAGAGACAG